TTCTACAGCACTGCTGGTCACAGCTGACCTCCAGCTGGAGCGCTCAAGGGCCAGGGCTTCCCAGTTCTCGGTGTCTATACCAGAGTTTTTAAGGTTGGCTTTGAGCCCATCTTTAAATCTCTTTTCCTGTCCACCAACATTCCATTTTCCATTCTTGAGTTCGGAGTAGAGCAACTGCTTTGGAAGACGGTGGTCGGGCATCCGGACAACGTGGCCGGTCCAGCGGAGTTGATGGCGGAGGACCATCGCTTCAATGCTGGTGGTCTTTGCTTCTTCCAGCACACTGACATTTGTCCGCTTGTCTTCCCAAGAGATTTGCAGGATTTTCTGGAAGCAGCGCTGATGGAATCATTCCAGGAGTTGCATGTGGCGTCTGTAGACTGTCCACTTCTCACAGGCATACAGCAGGGTTGGGAGGAAAATAGCTTTATAAACAAGCACCTTGGTCTCCCTACGGATGTCCCGGTCCTCAAACACTCTCTGCTTCATTTGGAAGAATGCTGCACTCGCACAGCTCAGGCGGTGTTGTTTTTCAGTGTCAGCGCTGCCTCCAGAAAATCCTGCAAATCTCTTGGAAAGACAAGCAGACAAATGTCAGTGTGCTGGAAGAAAGACCACCAGCATTGACGTGATGCTCCTACACCATCAACTGCTGGACCGGCCATGTTGTCCGGATGCCCGACCACCGTCTCCCAAAGCACTTGCTCTACTCCAAACTCAAGAACGGAAAACGGGATGTTGGAGGACAGGAAAAGAGATTGAAAGACGGGCTCAAAGCCAACCTTTAAAACTTTGGCATAGACACTGAGAACTGGGAAGCCCTGGCCCTTGAGCTCCAGCTGGAGGTCAGCTGTGACCAGCAGTGCTGTAGAATTTGAGGAGGCACGAATGGAGGGTGAAAGAGAGAAACATGCCAAGAGGAAGGTGCCTCAAGCCAACCCCGACCGGGACCGCCTTCCACCTGGAAACCAATGCCCTCACTGCCCGAGAACATGCAGATCAAGGACTCCACAGTCACCTACGGACCCACCGCCAGTACACCAATCTTGGACAACGAGGGATCGCCTAAGTAAGTAAGTAAGTAAGTAAGTAAGTAAAGTAATGACTTGAAGACACATAACAAACCCATGCCCTGCAGGTATGGCTCCGATCTCGGCCTCTGCTCCAAAAAGTGTACTTGCTAGAATTAATTTTATTCACTTAGGAAACAGTTTTTTTTGTTTATCCAGTTATTTCTTTTATTCACTTACACCATGCAATTGAGGAAGCTCTGAAATAATATGCTTCTCGGAGTTGAAATGTAATTAATGCTATCTTTAGCAATAGCTCTAAAATAATATAGCTACTGGAGCCCCCGGTGGCGCAGTGGGTTAAAGCACTGAGCTGCTGAGCTTGTTGATCGAAAGGTCGCAGGTTCGATTCCGGGGAGCGGCGTGAGCTTCCACTGTCAGCCCTAGCTTCTGCCAACCTAGCAGTTCGAAAACATGCAAATGTGAGTAGATCAATAGGTACCGCTCCGGCGGGAAGGTAACGGCGCTCCATGCAGTCATGCCGGCCACATGACCTTGGAGGTGTCTACGGACAACGCTGGCTCTTGGCTTAGAAATGGAGATGAGCACCAGCTTTTACCTTGGGACTCCCAGGTGGTGCAGTGGATTAAACTGCCTTTATTATATATATGATATATATATCTTGTCCTCTTATGACACCATATTGAATTCTGGGTACCACAATTCAAGAGAGATATTGACAAGCTGGAATGTGTCCAGAGGAGGGCGACTAAAATGATCAAGGGGCTGGAGAACAAGCCCTATGAGGAGCGGCTTAAGGAGCTGGGCATGTTTAGCCTGAAGAAGAGAAGGCTGAGAGGAGATATGATAGCCATGTATAAATATGTGAGAGGAAGCCACAGGGAGGAGGGAGCAAGCTTGTTTTCTGCTTCCTTGGAGACTAGGACATGGAACAATGGCTTCAAACTACAAGAGAGGAGATTCCATCTGAACATTAGGAGGAACTTCCTGACTGTGAGAGCCGTTCAGCAGTGGAACTCTCTGCCCCGGAGTGTGGTGGAGGCTCCTTCTTTGGAAGCTTTTAAACAGAGGCTGGATGGCCATCTGTCAGGGGTGATTTGAATGCAATATTCCTGCTTCTTGGCAAGGGGTTGGACTGGATGGCCCATGAGGTCTCTTCCAACTCTTTGATTCTATGATTCTATGTACTAGTACATAACAGCTTGTGCATGTTTCAGACCAATCTGTGGTCACATTCCATAAAAAATTGGTCAAATGCTTTTAATTACACGTGGCCTGTTGGCAGTTGCCATTTTGCTTCTTCTTTGTTTTCATGTATAGCACACATCATTATGGATGGCTCTTTCCGCTTCTGACATTTATAAAGTAGGACCCACGCATCTATGGTGGATAGGTTCCCACACTTTGCATGAATGGCTTAGTGAGGACACAAACTCTGGTTTTCATAGTCCTAATCCAATGTTCCTATCACTACTCCACACTGGCTCTCAAATACACAACTCCCAGTGGTTCTCAACCTATAGGGTCCCCAGATGTTTTGGCCTACAACTCCCAGAAATCCCTGCCAGTTTACCAGCTTGTTAGGATTTCTGGGAGTTGAAGGCCAAAACAGCCGGGGACCCGCAGGTTGAGAACCACTGCACTGGAAACAACTTGCTCAGAAATACTTGGAGCCCTTATATCAGAGATACTGTCAGGTTTTACAATGTATTGTAATGTAATATAGCTGAGTCATGCACTGCTAATGGGTTTCTATTGGAAATGCTGAGTCATGCATTAACTGTATATAGGGAATCATTTGGGGAATGTGTTCTGGCCTAGTCCAGGTGATTGTGAATGATGTAATCCTGGGTCTGAGTTAAGTTAATGAGTTGGGAACCAATCAGAGATTGCTATGTGTAATTGTATAGAATTGTATATAAGGAAGTCATGTACAGTGTATATCTCTCCTTGTGCTGTGATGTTGTTTGTCGAAGGCTATATGTAATTAAAAGAACCTGTCTGCTAAGACAAGATATAACTGTATGCTGTGGTAAGTTTGTAATGTCATCTAGACTGGGGGAAAGACAATGGTAAAACTGACAATGGCCAGGCATGTGCTCAAGTGTCTGTAAAAGGTTCCAGTGTGGCAGCAGGCTGTGGGAGCAGTTGACTGAAAATACTGTGCAGGAAGAAGCTACTGGAAAGCGCTGAAGTTGTGCAACTGATCTGCTGCTGAATTGTGAAGTTAATCTCAACAGATAGGCAAACATGTAAGGCCAGAGGGCTGCATTAGAACCCCAGGAGATACTGGAGGGCTTCACGTTTCCACTGCCCCTCTAGAAATGACAGGATTTTCCGCAAGTCTTAGGACCTTCCTGGGTCATTTTAGTCCCACAACAGGGAGGGAGCAGAAGTCATATCCATGTTACTCTGTCCTTGGCCTAAACTCTTGGACATATAGAAGTAAAGGTAAACGTAAAGGTTTCCCCTTGACATGAAGTCCAGTTGTGTCCGACTCTGGGGATTGGTGTTCATCTCAATTTTTGAACCGAAGACCTGGTGTTGTCCCTAGACACCTTCAAGGTCATGTGGCCAGCATGACTGCATGGAATGCCGTTACCTTCCTGCCAGAGCAGTACCTATTGATCTACTCACATTTGCATGTTTTCAAACTGCTAGATCGACAGAAGCTGGGGCTGACAGAGGAAGCTCATGCCGCTCTCCGGATCTGAACCTGCGACCTTTCGCTCAACAAGCTCAGCAGCTCAGTGCTTTAACCCTCTGTGCCACCGGGGGCTCCATATAGAAGTACATCTCTCAACTCATCCACCTCATTCCCACTCCTGCCTCCATCATTTGGAGTAAAGATGCCACAGGAAAGCAACACTCACCTGGGACTGTTTTGTAGTCCTCTTGATGTTTTTCTGCAGAGAAAGAATTGGGGGTTTAAACCCAGAAAAGTACAGCTCCCTCCCTCAGCCTGGCTCACTCCGCACTTGACCACTGGGCCAGATGCCTGTCTTTGGGATCTACATCCAAGGGGTAGTTTGGAAACCATTTATGTTTCCTAGGTTGTTTTCTATGGCAAGGGTTATGTTCAGTGCTGTTGGCTTCTCTGCAGCTTCGGGAACATCCTTGGACCTAGGTCTCCATTTAATCCATCTCAATTCAATGCCCACCTCACCCACGTGCAATGGGTGGGGGGCGGGGGGACACTCACCTGATGCTTTTCTGCATTGACGTATTTCTGCAGAGACAGAATTGGGGAGTTAAAGCTGGCTCTCAAGGATCAACACAATTTCATTCTCTGATAAAGAAGACCCCACACCCTCCTCTTCCTCCTTCCACAGGGATGGAGGCCTGTCAGACTCTCTAGCAAAGACATTAGTGAAATGGGAAACTTTCCCCGACACTACACACTACATAAAACCCCAAAAGAGATTATTTCAAATGAATGAAGAAACCTTTGAAAGAAACCCGAAGAAAGGTTACTCCTGAAACAAGGACTATAAACACCCGGGAACCCTTGTTGTATTCCCAAGACGTATCCTCAAGACATTTTATTATATCTTGAATATATATGGGACAATACTGGATGTGCTGAAGCTTATCCACACAACTTATGGAAGATCCGATGAACTATTTTGATAACATTCTAACATGAATATTATGTTGGTTACACCATTGTAAATAGTCCCTACATGTTTGTTTCCCATGCTTGTGTACTATACTGGTTAGTTTGGTACTCTCACCATTATTCTAATTGGTATCATTTGCTGAAGTCTATAGTAACAGGACATCTTTATATTTTCTCTAAACTTTCCCTGACAACAGGTTGAGGTCTGTGCTCATGGTGTGGGATAAAGTAAGGCAAATGGCTCCAAGTTGCAGGCTAAGCTGAACCTTCCCTTTAAAGATAGAGAGGGTCCCCAACAGGTAAAAAAAACCCACACACTGTCTCTCCCTATAAAGAAATTCATTCAGAGTTTACTCACTGAAATACACAGCAATCCCAGCCATCACATAAATCAGGCAGAGAAGCCCCAGGACACACCCGATGATGAGCCCCAAGTTGGAGGCTGAAGGTGAAATGGAAAAGAACAAGGGAATTAAAAGGAAATTACCAAACCAAATCCTTTATGGAGCCGTTCATAGATGGAGAAAGAACTGGAGTGTCCAAGGCTAAAGTACATGTGAATGACCAGATCTCACAATCTCCTGTCAAAGTCCGCAGAACAGGACTTGGGAGTGGCCATAACAGAAAAGCAACCAGGTTCAGCTCTACCATTGAACCTTGGTCCCACGGGCTGGTGAAAGGACCACCACCCTCCATGTCTCTTCTGGCCTCTGAGGGACAGAAGAACAGCCAGCATCTGTTGGACTTAATCCCCTCCTGAACCCCATGCCTTTTTCCTTATCGATTGGGTCTTATTTAGATGTTAAATCCAATAGCTTGATTGAACTAAACAGTTATAGGCAAAGTGAAATAATAAACTTTAAGCATTGTGTTTTGCTGGCACATCTGCATCAGAAAATGTAAACATTTACAAACTTATAACAGCCACTCAGGATGAGATGTCAGCCAGCCTTTGCGTAGAGTAGGGAATGTCAATTTATGAATCACAACACACTGGCTAGAAAGGGGCAGGTTATAAGAAATGGGATCAGAAGAAGTTTGGATTTTTCCGGATTCAGGGATATTTACATACTGTACATGTAATGAGTCATAGAATCATAGAATTGGAAGAGACCTCATGGGCCATCCAGTCCAACCCCATTCTGCCAAGAAGCAGGAATACTGCATTAAAAGCACCCCTGACAGATGGCCATCCAGCCTCTGCTTAAAAGCTTCCAAAGAAGGAGCTTCCACAACACTCCGGGGCAGAGAGTTCCACTGATAATGAGATATCTTAGAGATGGGACTCAAGTTTAGACATGAAATTCATTTATAATAATAATAATAATTCATCATCATCATCTTTATTTATATTCTGCCTTATCTCCCTGGAGGGCAGATTCCAAACATAAAAGGCAAACATTCAATGCCCGAACACAACAACAATACACCCACAGGGAGGAGGGAGCAAGCTTGTTTTCTGCTTCCTTGGAGACTAGGACGCAAAACAATGGCTTCAAACTACAAGAGAGGAGATTCCACCTGAACATTAGGAAGAACTTCCTGACTGTGAGAGCCATTCAGCAGTGGAACTCTCTGCCCCGGAGTGTGGTGGAGGCTCCTTCTTTGGAAGCTTTGAAACAGAGGTTGGATGGCCATCTGTCAGGGGTGATTTGAATGCAATATTCCTGCTTCTTGGCAGAATGGGGTTGGACTGGATGGCCCATGAGGCCTCTTTCAACTCTTTGATTCTATGATTCTATTCTATGATTTATGTTTCATATATCCTCTTTTCACATAGTCTGAAGGCCATTTTGTGCAAAATACACTTTTGAGCAAGAAGCAAAGTTTGTGTGCATTGAACCATTTGGAAATGAAGGTGTCACTATCTCAACCACTCCAATGGGTAGTTTTAGAGTTTTTTGGCTTCCCAGATAAGAGATAACCTGTATTGTGTGCAATAGCTGCTGCTGGAGTTCTGACAGCAGAGTCTGCAGTGCTACTTTGCCTTCAAAACGCCAGGTCTGAGGCATCTAATGGTGCCTCTGGGTAGTTTTTTTTAATGCCCTGGAACGCTCCCTCCCTCAAATTACTCACCAGGCTCCTCGCAGGGCACATCCACAGGATTTTGAAGTGCATCGTGCTCCACGTGGCATTTGTAGCGTTTCCTGTCCTTGGGTTCCACCGTGATGCTCCTCCAGGTGTAGTAAGTCCCATCTGAGTTGGGGGACACCAGGCCATGGAAGACATCTTGACGCCGGACCTCCCCATCCCTTGTCCAATCAATGTCAATGTCCTTTGGGTAGAAGCCCCTGACCCGACAGGTCAAGGTCTCCATGCCATCGTGCTCTGCCTTCCGGGTCACCGTCACTTCTGGTTTTTCTGCAAAATAATATCAGAATTAGCACAGGGCCTTTCCAAATATCAGGAATGGTGAGTGCTCTTGTTTGGACTACCTGGGGAAGGACTCCTATCTTCAACAATCTCCAGCTATGTATTGTCGAAGGCTTTCATAGCTGGAAACACTAAGTTCTTGTGGGATTTTTCGGGCTATATGGCCATGTTCTAGAGGCATTTCTCCTGACGTTTCGCCTGCATCTGTGGCAAGCATCCTCAGAGGTGAGGTCTGTTGGAAGTAGGAAAATGGGTTTATATATCTGTGGAATATATATCCTTTGTCTCACCCTGGTCATTCCACAGATATATAAACCCATTTTCCTACTTCCAACAGACCTCACCTCTGAGGATGCTTGCCATAGAGATGCAGGCGAAACGTCAGGAGAAATGCCTCTAGAACATGGCCATATAGCCCGAAAAAACCCACAAGAACTTAATCTCCAGCTACGTCTGACCTGCCCCTCCCCAAAAACTTGACCTCTCTGATCAATTGGAAGATGTGTTAAAAGAAGCAGCTGCAGTAATCTCCTGTAGCACAAAGGAAAGGAACGCGACAGATCCAAATTTAATTCTAATTGATTTGTATTTCAGCATGAGCTTTCATGAATGTAATCTCACTTCTTCAGTGCTTACACAACTGCATAATATTAGGACTGTGTGACCAATGAAAAAAATGTTTCAGTACTCACTACGAAATTTGGGAGGAAGGTGAATCGTTTTTGAGGGTGTTTCCGAAATTATGGACCTAACATTTTTTGTAACTATAACGAAGTAGTAATTTTTTTGTTACTTTTCTCATGAAGTAATTGAGCAACTAATTGTTACTGTTTTTAAGTTTTTATGTATTGCTGTTTTATACTGATGTTATTGTTATTGTGGCATCAAATTGCTGCCTATGTTAGCCGCTCTGAGCCCCCCCCCCTCGGGGGTTGAGAAGGGTGGGGTAAAAATGCTGTAAATAAAAATAAATAATAAATAAATAAGTGAGGGTACCTCAGGGGCTCATTTCTCCCTCATTTTAGAGCTATTGTGATGAAACTTGCTATAATTCTACCACATGTTATCCACTGTTAGCCCACAAAGTTTCGGAATGTTACACTCATCTCCTAATTTTTGAAGAATTTTGGAATTGTTTACATAAAGTATTCCCCCCCCCCCCAAAAAAAAACCCAACAACAACAAACAAACTACAAGAGCCATCTACTTGAATTTTATATACAATACACAAGATAACCAGGGCATCAATCCCTGAAAGTTTCAGAAAGATTCACACATCTATGGATTTTGGGGGATTGTTAAAAATGTAGACAAAAATATTTATCCCCCCAAAAGCCACAACAATAATCTCCTTGAATGTCTAACAGTGTGTCTATATGACACACAATTAACCATAGAACCAACTTAGCACAGATGTATACTATGACTTACTTACTTTAGTCCTCTTTGCAGATTCAATAATTTTGTGTACAGTATTATCATTAGACTGAGTCAAAATGGCTGGCTGCTGCAGCCCTCATTGGGATTTCTGATGCTGAGCCCTGCATTCTGGGCAGGGTCTTTTGAATTCTCTGCCACAGGGGTCCTCGTCTTCCCAAACTACATTTCCCAGAATGCTGTGTTCTCAGGCTCCCATCCAGCCTAGTTAGCTATCCTTCCTTTTGGTGATCGGCAAGCAACCTCAGTTTAGCAATAACCTCGTTGTGTTGTTGAAGTCTTTCATAGCCGGAATCACAGGGTTGCTGTGAGTCTTCTGGGCTGTATGGCCATGTTCCAGAAGCATTCTCTCCTGATGTTTTACCCACATTTATGGCAGCCATCCTCACAGGTTGAGTGGTCTCAACCTCTGAGGATGCCTACTATAGATGTGGGTGAAACGTCAGGAAAAGAATGCTTCTGGAACATGGCCATACAGCCCAGAAGACTCACAGCAACCTTTTACCAAAGTTGCTTAATGCTTATGCTGAAAATAAACTGACTTTGGGAGGCTTCCGAATATTAAAGAATCTTAAAAAAAATATATTGGTGAATGTTTCGATTCATAAATATTTCTCTCCCTGTTTTTGCTTGTTTATTAATAGTGATTTGTATGCACAAATCTAATGAATTACTAACGAGTTATTGGACTAACAATAATTTTGTTAATAAATATGCTTTATAGTCTGAGACTTTAATACCACTGCAGCTGAAGAAGTGGATTTACATCCATGAATGCTCATACTAGAATGCAATCTAGTTAGACTTAAATTCAATGCTACTACATTTCCTTTTTCCTTTCCCTTCCTTCCTATTTTAAATACTTAGATTTTGTATTTCTGTTTAATTTTATGGACCGTACCATTTCTGGCTGGAAGTGCAAGGGAGGCCATATGTTTGGAGGCTTCCAAATATGAAACAGGATTCAGTGTTTTGCAAGGGAAACAAGATCAAGTGTCCTGCAAGAAGCAAAGTCCACCCCCTTCCTGACTCCACAATACTATTTTTCTACTTTTAGAATTCCCCCTCCCAAAACAAACCTGGACAAGCCACACATCCCAGTCTGAAGAGGCCCTCCCCACCTTTACTGGTCGGAGTGTCTGGATTTTACACCATTAAGAATTCAAATTGTGGAGAATGAGAAGGATATGAAGACACTTCCTCCCTCCCCTCCCGCTTCATCCCTATCATGGTCTTGAAGACATTCCCTTCACCTCTCCTCAGCAGTGTCTCCTTCCCGTACTCCAGGTACTTCTGAAGCCACTCAATGCAGTTCCCCTCCAGGTAGTCCTTCAGGTAGTAGTTGCGTGATGACTGAGCATCCCATCTCCTCTTGGTGGTCAGGGCTTCCACATCAGCTGCCGTCCAACTGAGGGTCTCCTTGTCAAAGCTGATGAAGTCCTTCCCATCGTAGGCATACTGTCGATATCCTCCTTTGCTCCCATCTCTCCTCACCTCACAGCCGTACATCTGCTGCAGGGTATGATACCCTGAAAGACAAATACAGGGGTGGTGGGTGTGCTGTCACGTGCTGGGCCTATGAAAAGGTCTGTAGACAGGACGTGCTCTGTATGCCCAACAGGACGCCGGGGATGCCTCGGATTAGAAACCCTATAGATTTCCCTAATCAAAGTCTTTAGAAACTTGGACAGTTTAACAAAGTTCTTTATTAGTGCTTAGGTCTTCAATAAATCCAACCAATACTTCAAGGCTTTGAATCAACTGGTGGCTTTCTTAATCTTGTCCACAAGGGACAGGCAACTATCTTGATGAACTGTTTCTTCTCTATCAGGGAAATCCTTGACCTCTACCTGGGCAATCTGTCTTAGGCTCTGCTGGCGTAGGCACCTACACCCGGTCCAAATTGCACTATGGCTGCCGCGAGTGGTCCTTACCAAACAGAGTCCTTTTGTAGATTTCCAAGAGGAAATCTACGGGCCCGGGACAGAACCCTGCGGCACTCCACTTGTCACTTCTTTCCAAGATGAAGAGGAAGCAAGGGTGCTCACCAATGCTTCCTCTTCATCTTGGAAAGCCGCTCCTCATAGGACTTGTTCTCCAGACCCTTGATCATTTTAGTCGCCCTCCTCTGGACCTTGTTTAATCACCTAGCCTCCTCAACACTCAGACCCTAGAGAAATTTGATAGTTATGTGGACTTTCACATACGTTTCCCAAAAATCAAAAATACTCTGCCTGAATGCTTCACTTTAAAAGAAAATGTCTCTTTGGCCATCAATTATAACCTTCTGGATTGCTATATGTAGAGATCCATGTCGCAGAACACCTTATTCGATTGCTACCATGCAACGATAAACTGATCATCATGAAAATAAAAATCAAGACACAATCCTGGAAGAATTTCCCATTATTCCACTAGCCAAAACTGCTCTTCTGAAAATGTTTCTTATACCAAAATTACTCTATTTATTCCAAATACTGCCACTAAAGAGGAACTCAACAAACTTGCTACCAATTCACTCCAACTTCAATGCCTTCCCATTTCATTTCCCATCATACTAGATCAGGGAATTAGCCCACACGAAGCAGGTGAGACACAGGGTGTCTCAAACCTACACCTTATAAAGTCTACTGTTGATATACCTCATCCCACTAGGGCAGTGTTTCTCAACCTGGGGGTCGGGACACCTGAGGGGGTCATGAGGGGGTGTCAAAGGGGTCACCAAAGACTATCAGAAAACACAGTATTTTCTGTTGGTCATTGGGATTCTGTGTGGGAAGTTTGACCCAATTCTATCTTTGGTCGAGTTCAGAAGGCTCTTTGATTGTAGGTGAACTATAAATCCCAACAACTACAACTCCCAAATGTCAAGGTCTATTTTCCCGCAGATTCCACCAGTGCTCACATTTGGGCATATTGAGTATTTGTGCCAAGTTTGGTCCAGATCCATCATTGCATGAATCCACAGCACTCCTCTGGATATAGGTGAACTACAACTCCCAAACTCAAGGTCAATGCCCACCAACCCTTCCAGTGTTTTCTAATAGTCATGGGAGTTCTGTGTGCCAAGTTCGGTTTAAATCCATCGCTGGTAGAGTTTAGAATGCTCTTTGATTATAGGTGAACTATAAATCCTAGCAACTACAACTCCCAAATTACAAAATCAATCCTCCCGCAACCCCTCTAGCATTCACATTTGGGCATATTGGGTACTTGTGCTCAATTTAGTGCAGTGAATGAAAATGCATCCTGCATATCGAATATTTACATTGCGATTTATACAGTAGTAACATGACAGGTATCAAGTAGCAATGAAAACAATATTATGGTTGGGGGTCACCACAACATATGGAACTGCATTAAGGGGTCACGGCATTAGCAAGGTTGAGAACCACTGCACTAGGGTATCTATCCAGTTGTTTGTTGCACCATGGCCTACTGGAAATAGTAAATCTGTTTGTTGTGTCTTGCAAAGATCAACACCAATGTGGACCATACCATTCTGTTAATCTTCAGTACTAAGCTGTTACAAAAAGGTTGCCCCACTTGACGTCTACAGTTTCCAGTTAGGCAGTCAAACAGACCAGTGGGATGAGGTGGAGAAATTCCTCTTTCTCCACCTCACCCCAGAGAGAGATGTCATATTAACCCTGGGAAGGAGACGGCAGATCCCCACTCCCTGCCCTTGGCCGGTACTTACCTCTGCTCTGGTTATAACGATTCCTTGCAGTCACCAGGCTCTCTTTGAAGAACAGCTCTGCAGTCTGAGACACCTCGGTTTCATCCTCCCAGTAACGGGGATCGTCTTTCCCCACCTTCTTCATCCAGGAAACACAAGGACGTTTTTCTCGCACGGTGCTGTCATACTGACAGATCCGCTGGTCATCCATATATCCAACAATGGTGAATGAAGAAAGCCATTCAGTATCCTCTGATGCTGCGATATAGAAGTACTTCAAGGAGTGGAAGGAGGAGGGGGGGACTGGAAAGGAAGAAAAGGGGAATCATACGAATGTACTCAGGTAGTGACCACCGAGAATTCAGTTTAAAAGGTAGTAAAACACGTAAAATAGTGGCAAGTCTCGAGAAATGGATGGATTATCCAGAAAATTCTACAAAGTCTTTGCAAGGAGGTCAGGCAAGGCTGCATTTTATCACTGTGCTGTCACACGCTGGGCCTGTAGCAATTGTCTATTAACAGGGCTTGCTCTCTATATGCCCAGCGGGAGACCGGGGTGCCTCGGCTGAGAGGCCCTCTGAATTTCCCTATACAAAGTCTTTAGAAGCTTAGAAAGTTTAACAAAGTTCTTTATTAGTGCTTAAATCTTCAACAAATCAATCAAATACTTCAAAGATCTTCAACAAATCAATCAAATACTTCTTAACTTGCCTACAATGGGCAGGCAACTTGCTTCATGGACTGTTTCTTTCTTCTATAAGGGAAATCCTTTGACCCCTCCCTGGGCAATCTGCTTTTTAGGCTTTGCTGGCGTGGGACCCCTACTCCGGTTCCAATTTGCTTTATGGCTAGCCCAAGTGGTCCTTACCAGGCAAAGTCTCTGTGTAGATTTTCCAAGACAAAGGAAGTCCTTTACCTTCCAGCAAGGCTGGCTGTAGAGCTGTGGAACTATATTCCCCCAGCAAGAGATATGAGACTTTATTCCCCAGCAAAGGCTTTTAGAACTGTATTGTCAAAGGCTTTCATGGCTGGAATCACTCAGTTCTTGTGGGTTTTTTCGGGCTATATGGATGCTTGCCATAGATGCAGGCGAAACGTCAGGAGAAATGCCTCTAGAACATGGCCATATAGCCCGAAAAAACCCACAAGAACTGAGCTTTTAGAACTGTTTTCCCCAGAAGCTGTAGGACTGTTTTCCCCCAAAGCTGTAGGACTGTCTTTCCCCGAAGCTGTGAGAAACAAAGCTTTCTACAAGTGGGAAAGGCTCACACGTTCTGTATGAAAGGCTTCGCTGTACAAACTGAGCTAAAGGTCCCTTTTCCATTCCAAACCTGGAAAAAGGGGCGGAACTAAAGAACTTAACAATGACTGACAGGTTGCTGGCCCTATTGACGTCGAGCATGCCCCCCCTAACAAGGGAAGGTGACTTATAGTTCTGCAAAGGACAAAGGTACCAGACTGCGCAATAGGGGTTAAGTCTTGGTCACATTGCCAAGGCATTGACAACAACAAGGACCCCACGAGGCTTTTGGGAAATGGCTGGATCTTGGGACTTCTGCCCTTCATGAGAGTTGTAGTTTCCCAAGGACCAAAGTATGAATCAGTTGCAGCACAGCTGGGGTTTAACCTGCCAGCCTTCCCAATGATCATGGACTCTCTGCCTGCATGTCTTGGACTTCAGTACATACTATCTCCCTCATGAACTTTCCTCAAAGACCTTTTAAAACATTGGACTTCAGGCTTCTTCAGGAAAATTAATCTTTTTATTAAATATACTTGGGATGTGGGACAAAGATGGGGTTTTGTTGCTATGAAAATGCTTATGATTTGAATGTATGTATCTTGCTATGAAATATTGCCTGCCCCTTTGCCTTTCCCCTAGAAAATTGCGACCCGAGATTGCTCACTGCCTGAGGAAGGACCACCGCCTCTCTCGAAACTTGCTTGATTATTCAACATCTGCATGGACAATAACAAGTGAAATATCCTTTTGTTTGCTCTCGTCTGGCAGACAAGGAAGTTTCTTTGGACATCATGATTGCTTTACAAAGGGACGAGGTTAATCCCAGGGGGTCCCCTCGCCCCAGCTCTGTTTGTTTCCTCCACAAGGCTCAACAAGGACACTCCTTATCAGATCTGGGACAGGAAAGCCTTTCTTAATCCCATCACCTCCCATTCTGAATTTTGCCTATAAAAATGCCTGTAAACTCTGTGCTGGTATGCTTGTAGTGGAAATATCCCTACAGTGCATCCGATCTCAGCTGAATCGCTCATTAAACCTCGATGCCCCTTCTTCACTTTGGCAAGAGTCTCATTTCAATTATTAATATTAAATAAAGTTGCTGGAATCAGGCTTCTCTGAAGGCTTGCCAAGGTAACGTTCCCTCTTTGGTGGGAACTAAGGGTCATCTCTCCTTGGAGTTGACCCCCCTAAAGTGTCATTCGACTTCACTATGACTGCAGCCTGGAGGGAGCTACCTAACTGCAAAATACATGGCTAAAAATAAACACATGCAAACTAACCATGCATAAAAAAGGAAATTTAAGCTTCTGGCACAGTTGTGCCAGCACAATCACTCCAACTCAGGTATGGGCAAACCCCCGTGGGCTTAATTCTCAGGCCCTCCTTTCTCACCATCCTATCCTTCCTTTCTTCCTCCTTCCCTCCCTCTCTCTTTCTCCCTCACTCCTTCCTTCCCTTCCATCCTTCCTTCCTTCCCCCTTTCCTCCCTCTTTCCCTCTTTCCCCTTCCTTCCTTCCCTCTTTTTCCCCTCCCTCCCTTCCTTTTTGTATTTCCTTCCTTCTCTCTTTCCTCCCTTCCTTCCTTCCTACCATCCTTCTCTTCCTCCCTCCCCTCTCTTTTTCCTTCCTCTTTTCCTCCTGGGGGATGTTTAGCTGGGAGAAGAGAAAAGAGAGAGGGAACATGAGAACCATTTTTCAAGATTTCAAAAGGTGACCCATTGAGGAGGAGGAGGAGGAGGAGGAGGAAGAAGAAGAAGAAGAAACTGGCTTTCTGCTGCTCTAGAGACCAGGGCACAAGGGAGTAATTGGTTCAAATGGCAGGGAAAGAGATTCAACTGAAAAGGAAGAACTTCCTGAGCTGTTGGAGAGTGGCCTAGGCTGCCTGGGAGTGTGTTGGAGTCTCCTTCTCAGGAGGCTTTTCTGCAGAGGCTGTCTATTGGGAGTGCTTTGATGGTGCCTTCCTGCCTGGAAGAGGGTTGGACTGGATGGCCCTTGGAGGTCTCTTCCAGCTCTAGGATTCTTGATCAGGAGTAGGCAATATGGGATCCGATGGACACACTTTTTCTCCCCAGTCCACCATCACATCCTGACCAAGGCCAACCCTTTTGGGATCCAAACATTTCCCAACTTTCCTTCTTTGGGAAACTTGGGGAGAACCCCCTCCTTCCCGGCCCACCCACCCTACTCCGGCTCGCCATGTGGACCCAAGTTAGAAAGTTTGCCCATGCCTGTTCTAACTGTTTAACTTGTATGTTGAAAATACCATACACAAAGCAGGACTAGACTCAGAGGAAGGTGACATGAAAACTGGAGGAAGGATTGGCAGAAAAAGCGAAACCTTTGAACGAATATTGAAGAAAGTCAAAGTGCAGAGGCAGGTTTAGTGTTTAACAGTCGGAACACAAAAATAATGACCACAGATGATTTATATAACTTTAAGATAGAGACAATAAAGTCATAAACATACTGGCGGTTCAAGACTGTCTATGCCTTTGTTCAATCATTAACCAGAATAGATCTAATAAAATCAGGGGGGAAA